GCAGGACCTGAGTCACCAGTGACCTCCACAGGCGCAGGCACGAGAGGGTCTACCTGAGAAACATCTGAAGGAGCAGGACCTGGCGCGGGGAGGGGGTCTACCTGGGGAGGACCTGGAGCGAGAAAGAGCAGCGGGGGGGGGCGAGGGGCAGTGCGGTAGGGAAAAAGACGGTAAAAGGGGACTGACTCGTCAAAGGTGACGTCCTGAGACGCAAAGACACGGCGCGAGGCGGGGTCGTAAAACTGCCAGCCAGGCGCGTCAGGGACAAAGCCAAGGAAGACGCAGGGAATGGCGCGAGGGGAGAGCTTGTCCGCAGTGGTATCGCGGACAAAGGCACGGGCACCCCAGAATCGGAAACGCGACACATCGCCAACCTCCCCCGTCCAACGCAGTGTGGGCGAAGTCTCCGGCACGGAGACACGGGGCCAGAGGTTGAGCTGATGCGCGGCGTACCGGACCGCAAACGGCCTCAGAAAATGGGGTGTAGCCGCATGGATCATGGAGGTACGAGCGACCTCCATGACTAAGCCAATGCGGCGCTCAGCAACCCCATTCTGCTGCGGAGAGGCCGGAAGCGTGAACGTCTGGCGGATGCCGTGCTCCTCACAGTAGGCTCGCAAGAGGTTGGAGGAGAACTCACCACCTCTGTCAGAGTGTAGACGCAGGACAAGAAAGTCCGACAGGAACCGCTCGTGGAGCTGGAGACGAACAGCGCGGATCCAGGGGATCAAAACATCAGAAACCTCCCCCTTGCGCTGCAAGGGGAAGACCGTGGTGTAACGCGTGTAGTCGTCGACAACCAGCAGGAAGTACCGCTCGTGGCCCTGTCCCTGGACGCGGGCTGGGCCCCACATGTCCAGGTGGAGAGTCTGCAGCGGAGCCTCTGTGGGAGGAAACGAGGAGGAGTGAGGAGCGGCGCGCTGCCGTCCCTCGACGCAAGGAATGCAGGGGGGCGCAGGCGAGGGAGGGAGGGCAGGTAGAGACCTGGGAAGACCAGAGACCAGGGAGCGAGAGTGCATGCCACGAAGGCGAGGCAGGGAGGGGTGACCAAGGCGGTGGTGCCAAAGGAGAGTCTGGTGCGACAGGCGACGACACTCACACTGGGTAGCTACCTGAGCAAACGCGTACAGCTGAGGAGACAAAGGGGTAGAGCGCGACACAGTGGTGAGGGTGTACAGACTGGACCCAGGCTCACGGGTGAACGTGGCCAGGTGGCGGCCGGTCCGAGAGCACGTGCGGATTGCCACACGCTGCCCTCCAGGAGTAAAGGTGTCAACCGAATGATCCTGAAGGACAGCGTTGCTCACCAATTTCGTAGAGAACGAGGGGAGGTGGAGACCAGACAGCTCACCAGACGGGACCGCCGGACACGGAAGCACAGTGGAAGACCGTGCAAGCACTGGGCCCCAAGAGGGGTCAGCCAGTGAGACAGGGACAGGTGCAGGGAGGGGAGTGACTGTGGTGCTGTCGCGAAAGAAACAACGGGAAGCACCAGAGTCAAGTGTAAAGGTGTGCAAGGCCTGTGCGGATGCAGTACCAGGGGGAGCAGACTCACGAGCACCTAGTGCTGCAGGCGCTATACCTGGGGCTATACTGGGGTCAAGTGGCACACACAAGTAGTAGTCATCCTCAGCACTAACAGTCAATGCATACATGGCAGCAAGAATAGCATCATAGTCAAATCAAAGATAGGTACATCACGCCTAAGCAGGTCTGCCCAGTTGGGGAACTCAGTAGCATCAGGAAACTTGACGCGCCAGGCGTCGCTAAGCCGAGCAAAGCAGCGGTACTCAGTGTGAAAGCCTGTGCACTGGCGACCAGCGCAGGGACCTGCGCGAATGATATAGGGGCAGCGACCAGGACCCCCAGACGCCCCACACCCGGCATACCAGTCATGAAGCTGCTAGGAAGTGGGGGTCTGGCGCTGACGTTGCTGCTGCTGCTGCTGTTGGTGCTGCCCCTGGCCACCACTGGTCTCACCCAAGCCCCCACCACCGCCGCCACCACCACTCCCCCCTCCGCTACCACCGCCGCCGCCACCGCCACTGCTCCCGGCACCACCACCGCCCCCACCACCACCTCCACCCCCACGACCACCCCCACCACCTCCACCTCCCCCGCCGCCTCCACCACCGCCCCCTCCACCGCCACGTCCGCCACCCCTGCCACCCCTGCCTCCCCTGGAGCCGCTGCGCTTCCCACTAGGAGCGGAAGCAGCTGCGACCTTCTCAGCACCAATGAGGTCAACAGCAGCAGCTGCGGAGGCGTAGGAGGGGGTAAGAGGGGAGGGGGAGCACCCCTCAAAGAGGGGAGTGCGAGGAGTACCACGAGCAGCACCTACAGCGAGGATGTTCTTCTCTGCTGCTAGGAGGTGCTTCTCGAAGTCGGCGACAGTGAGAGTGGTAGGGTCTAGGGCTAGGAAGTGGTCCCTGACGGAGCTAAGAGTGTCAGGGAGGCGGGTGACGAGGAAATAGAGAGTGAAGTACATCGGGGGGGTGGGGGGGGGGGGGGGGGGGGGGGGGGTTCTCGGCGCAGAACTCGGCTGGAAGGGCGGCACGAAAGCGAGTGTCACTAGTGCGAAGGTGAGAAATGAGGTCCTCAGCAGTGGTAAACGAGGACAGGTCTGGGAACAGGTAGGGTAGCATGAGCCGACCTAGGGCTGCAGTGGCCGGGGAGGAGTAGCGCGCAACTACAGTGTCATACAGTGCCTTAGGAGTTTTGTGCTGGCTGAAATGCGCGCGCTCAGTGATCGGCAGATGATTTCGAATAGCTAGGCGTGCAGCAGCATCGCGAGTCTGCCACTGTGAGCGTTCGAGAGCGGTAGCATCGTCAGCAGGAGCAACTGCAGTGCCAGACACGTAATCGAACAGTGAAACGCCGTCTTTGGCATCAGTCAGAAGAAACAGTTGGAGATCGTCGAGCCACGTGGCGAACTCTATCGGGCGACCGTCAGGCTCAAACGCGAGAACATTAAGTGTCGCCATAATCGCAGTGCAGGCAAAGGTAGTAGGCAAAGACAGTAGGCAGCAGGCAGCAGGCAAAGGGGCAGCAGCAGGCCGCGCACAGGCTGCAGAGGCGCGGCTCGAGCAGGTAGGGCGGCGCGCGTGGCTGCAGAGGGCCGCGCGCGGGCTGGCAGAGCGCGGCGCGAGCTGCACGGACGGTGCGCGGGGCAGCTGCGGACCGCGCGTGCACTGCGCGGGCTCGGCGCGGGCTGCGCGAGCGGTGCACGGGGTAGCTGCGGGCCGCGCGCGCGCTGCGCGGGCTGCGCGGGCGGTGCGCGGGGCGCGACGCGGCTGCCGAGGCGCGACGCGTGGGGCAAAAGGGGGCAGCGCGCGGGAATTAGGTCTGCGCGCGCGAAGCAGCAGTAGATAGCTCAGACAGCAGACAGTAGGCAGCAGGCAGACAGTGCGCGCAGCGCAGCACGTCCTAGGCACAGTCACAGTCACAGTCGTGGGGTAGCGGTAGGTGGGCCCGAAAAAAAAGACGGTCCTACGGACCTACTGCTCTGAATACCAGGTCAAAAGTCTAGGCAGGAAATGATTGAACTAGGAAAGTGTTGGGTACAAGTATGAAACCCTAAAAGGGGCTATACCCCATATTGGATACCCCACTATAGCCTAAACATATATATCATACATATAATTTGACACATGCAACCAACCACCAAATTTCACATCGAGGCCAATAGGGCCCCGCCGCCCACTGCGAACAGCTCCTCCTCCCTTCGTCGCGGAACGCGCCCTGCCTCGTCGCCCTTGCACCCGAATCTGTCTCGGTGGGGGGGATGGCAAACAGCTAATACCCTGAGAGCGTTCTCATTTTGTTGCTGTTTTCTTCCAACTCCCTTCCTACTCCCTAGTTCCCATCTTTCCTGCGCTCCCGCCACCCCTACTGCTAGGCCTGCCATAGCTACGGGCCCCGCCTCCCTACCCGTCGTGAGCCGACAGTTCGACACGGCCTCATCCTAACCGCAGGCGGGATCGAGGTGGAGGTGTTTGAAGACTAGGTGAATGAGCTTAGCGAGGCGCCGAGGGCGGAGCTCGACGAGAGGATGCTCAACGCGGGCGTAGTGTACGTTTCCTATCGAGCGTTTTCGTTTTGAGCATTTTCGGTTTGCCATGTTTCCCTGTCGCTGACTATGCCCTAGCTTTTCGTGCAACCTGTTTTCAAGGGAGCTGCTGTCTGTCGAGCAGCTCGCCAAGCTGTCGATTGTGACTTCGACGCGTGCGCGTGAAGAGATGGCGCGTCCCACACCGATCGTTTTTGCGAACAACCACCTCGACGGCCTACTCGGCAAGCAAGTGGTTCTCGTTCTGCAGCGGACCGCGTGAGTTCGACACTCTCCCGTTGCCTTGCGTGCTCCGTGTTTAGCCCTAAATCCGTGCTCACGTGCATTCGCTCTGCATGCAGCCTGAGTGTGGCAACGTTCTCCCACTCGAGCCTATTTGTCGTATCGCGCCCCGACGATCTGCTGGCTCCGAGGCACCGTGGCTGTCGAACTCGAATAATGCACTTTGATTCGAAAGACAGGTTTCCCGCAGTAAACCACCAATTTTCGCTAGCGCATGAAGTTCTCGTGTGAGTGACCGATTTCCCACCCTTTTGTCGACTTGCCGTTCTCGACAATCTTACTCTCCTGTCCGTTGCTTAGCAGTTGGATGAAGCGGCAGCTTCGCGCCGAGTGCGCGGCGACCCAGTGGGTTGTAACCGAGCACGAGCAAGGGGTGCTGGAAGACATTGACAGGCGTCTTGACATGATCACGAGTTTCGATCATCTGGTAAGCCAACCCTTACCCTTACCCCTGCATGTTTTCGTCGAGCATGTTGTTCAGACGCTTACGTGCGTTCTATACCCGTCGCAGACGACGACGGCCCTGACGAGCCCCAATGAACCCGGCGCTGGAGCTCGTGTCGTGCACGGAGTGCGAAGGATTCTGTCGAACTGGGACAATTTCATCCTGCAGCCTCGACAGGGCGAGCTCGCGAGTCTCGGGAGAACGATGCTTCCGTCGTTCATGGTCAAGCTGTTTTGGAAGAAGTTTGGCGAGGTGGCGGAGGGAGTAGGAGTAGGAGGTGGTGCCAAACACGAGGGAGGAGGCGAGGGGACGACACGCGTCGTGGTTGAGAATGAATATGAGGAGGAGGAGGAGGAGATCAAGGAGGATACAACGAGGCAAGATCAGCACGGGGCGAGCGGCCCGGACGGCCATGCGAAGGAGCACAAGGGCTCGAGCTCGGAATCGAGCTCCGGCTCGAGCTCAAGCAATGAGTCGGTCGAGCACGACGGCGAGGGCGCAGGAGTACATCCAGGTGTGACGGAGCGTATGGAGGAGCACGGAGTGGCGCTCGAGGAGCGGGTGGACGAGCGGGTGATGCTTGTCGAGCAGCAGGCGACGGGGGGACAATGGGGTTGTCGAGGAGCAGGAGGGCGGAGCGGCTGCGCATGAGGGTGGGGCAGGAGTGCAGCAGCAGGAGGGCGGGGAGGCTGTGCAGGAGGGTGGGACAGGAGGGCAGCAACAGGAGGGCGTGTCGGCTGCGCAGGGGGGCGGGTCAGGAGGGCTGGAGCAGGAGGGCGGGAAGGCTACGCAGGAGTGTCGTTGAGGAGATGAGGGACAGGTCGCCGTAACAAGGAGACACCGCACGGCCGGTGGCAGCGGATAGGCGGGCCCTTCGACGTCGGCCATTGCATCCGGAGGCCATCTCGTCGAGCTACTGGAGAGGCTCGCGGAGGTCGAGGCATCGCAGAAGAAGCTCGTCGCCGACGTGTTTGCAAAGCACAGTGAGCAAGCCGGTGTTTTCAACAAGCTTGCTGCGGGTTTTTGGACGGCCTGGAATATGATTTCGGAGTCGTCGAGGAGCACGCTGAAGCGGTGCGCTGACGTCGTAAACAGTGTCATAGAGGAGAGAAAGCTGCTCGAAGGGGCGCGCACGAGATGAGCGGGAAACCCATCGAGGGGGTGGCAGCCGCCATCACAAAAGCGAGCGAGGACGCCGTTGAGAAGCAGCTCAAGCATGTCGAGGAGCGGCTGGTTGCTTCTGTCATGAAGGGTATTAAGAAAGCCATCAAGGAGGACTTGTTCTACTCCACCCTCTCGCCCGAGAGCATGAAGGAGCTGAACGAAATTGTAAGAGAAGGCTACAAAGAAGCTGAATCTGGGAGATTGGAAGTCCTCACCGAAGCGATGGCGAGAGGGTTTCAGCGATCGGCGGGCCCGTCGACGAGGTCGCGTCAGGAGGGTGTGGCTGGTGTTCGCAACGGGGCCGAGGCTCGAGTTCAAGAGGTTCCTCCTTCTTCGTCGGTGGTAGGACATGTCGGCAGCCCGGTATCATCCCCACAGGCACGTGCCCGTCATCCCGTCGCCAAGTCCGTCGAGGGCAACGAGGTCATCGTACTCGACCAGACGCCCCAGACAAAGACCTCCGAAGCGGCACCGAAGCCTCCGCCTGATGCTTTTGCTCCACTGCGGGACATGCTGCATGGCCTCGAAAAAAAGGCTGGGAAAGGAGTGGTTACGAGGGAGAAAAGCGGTGCCCCAATCGAGTTCGTCGCCTCAGCCAGGAAAAGTGGCGTGGGAAAGCGAGTTGCGCCTATCCCGTCTGGCGGCGCTGCAGGGAAAGGAGCGGAGGAGACTTGGGGTGCTCCCACCCGGTGAATCCTACTTTTAAGTGTTCCCGTCGCCAAGTAGGGATTGTCTTCGCCGAGAATGTGCGCGTCATCCTCTTTTGATATATTTGCCGCGGCAGGGCGCAGAGGGTCAACCTCTTCGGCATCGTCCGCCTCGTGCTGTTCTCCCGTCTCATCATTATCATCGTCCGTCTCTTCAGGGACGTGGCTAGTTAAGTCTGCTGTACTGGGTCTTCTCGACGATCGCCTAGGCGCGGCGGTAGTGGCTCACGAGGCGGATGTACCAACTAGGGGTGGTGGGCGAACCTCAGCCGAAACTTTCTTCCCCCTCCTCCTACGCCGCCCAACAGTCGAGCTCAGGTCACCAGCTACTGGATCCGCGTGTGTTCTCGAGCGGTCTGCGGTCAATGATGGTGCACTCTGGTTTGTCGAAATCGGTTCTATCACTACAGGTATGGAATACGCCGTCGAAGGGACTTCGGTCGGTGGACCCCCCACTTCGACATTAACGGCATTGTCCGTCGAACGCTGGTCCGTCACAATGGGCTGAACCACTACCGGTATGGATCGTGACGTCAAGGTGGGCGGTGTAAATACCGGTATAGCTCGCGACGTCGAGTTGGGCGCTGAAGAGACCGGTATGGCTCGTGACATCGATGTGCGCACTGTCGAGCCTGGTACGGGTTGTGACGTCGAAGGTGTCGGTGTCGAGATGGTTTTTACGTCGACAAGTAGCGGTCCTGCAGCTGCCTGCCGAGAAGGCGATGTCCTCGACGGATCGTTCTCCATCATGGCCTACATGGAAGCCCTCATTTCCATGGTGTTGGCCTACTGCCTAAAATGGTGTACTGCAGCTACCATTTTTGGATTGGTTTTATACCTTGGTTTGATGATTTTCCTTCCACCACAGATGCCCTTTAGATCTTGGATTTTGACGTGACTGTCGGATGTTGACGTCCGTTGATGGCGACTTACGTAACCCGTCGGACATCCGACTGTGACAGTTCGCTCGACCGACAGAGATGCCCTGAAGTCCTTGGCTTTTGACGTGGCCGTCACGTGTTGACGTGACTCGTTGATAGCGACTCTCATAACCCATCGCCCATCCGACAGAAGGGAACCTCTGCAAGGGAATGGGGGGAACGAGAAAGCATCTGCCAAGAACAGAGCCTCCTCCTCTCAACACTTGGATCTTAGACTCCGGTGCAGCATATCACATGACCCCAAGGGCGGACCTGCTGGATGAGATTGGGAAAACAAGCATGACTGAAATGCTTTCAGGATGCGGGCACAAGATGAATGTGATGGGGGTCGGCAAGGCAGCGTTTAAAGGAGCTGATGGGAAGCCGATCTTCCTTGAACAAGTGCTCTTGGTGCCGGAGCTAAAATGGAACCTCATTTCTCTGAGGCAACTGGGGATTGCAGGTGTTTGCACGGCAACTAAGGGAGCTGAAACGTTTAAGGGACAGCTTGATGGTTGGGTGCTGTGGGACCTGCATGAGGAAAAAGACCTACATGAGGAGTTGTGGCATGTGCCGGTGGTGCCATGGAAGGAGGTGGTACCTGTGAAGCGGAATGTAGTTTGCAGCTGCAAGGGGGGGTGTGCTGGCGAGGCTGCTGAAATGATCAAGAAGCTCAAAGTGACAGTGGAGATGCTGGTGCAGCAGTTGAAGCAGGTCAACGCTCGACTAGCAGCAGCCGAAAAAAGAAATGTGTTCGGTGCTGATGAGAAAAAAGGTGCAGATATCACGGGGAGCATAGTTGAGACTGCTGCTGAAGACAAGGAGAAAGAAGTTACCAAGAGTGACACTCGTGAGGAGCAGAAATACAAGGCTATGGTGCAGCGGAAGGATGCTGCTAAGAAGGAGAAATCTTTGGTGCTAAATGTGGGAGTTTATGCAGCTGATGAGGCTAAGGAGATTGGTGAACCCAAGGTGAAGCAGGGCGTGAAGGAAGCAGAGATTGCGGGCGAGCAGATGAGTGCATTCCCTAAAATTGGAGTTGGGATAAGCTATGCGGCGGCGCTGGTGAAAGGCAAACGCAAAGAGTTAGTTCAGGAGGGAAAGCAGTTTGGCAAGGATATGAATACTCCTATGCCAATGACGGAAGCAGTGAAGGGAGCAATAATTTCTAGTGATGTCGTGGCTGGATTCGAATAGTCGGCAGGTTGAGGGGGTATTTGTTGAGTGCAATACATGGTTTGCACGGCAACCTACCACCTATTCGCCGACGGTAATGAAAAATGAGGGAGTTTTGTTTGAAGGTAATTTGTGTCGTGTGATATGTGCATTTCATTTTGCATTTTGTGTGTGCGCATTTTGTGTGTGTTCTGTGCGCACTCGTCCTCTCATTTTGTGTGTTTCCTTTTCATTTGTAATTGCATTTTGTGTTTGTGCATTTTCATTTTCGTTTTCACTGTTCTCATGAAGCGCTCAAATGAGGCTCACATGATGCGCTCAAATGAAGCTCTCATGAAGCGCTCAAATGAGGCTCCCATGACGTGCTCAAATGAAGCTCTCATGAAAGCTCAAATGAAAGCTCTCATGAAGATCAAATTAGCCTCAAATGAGCTTCCCATGAAAGTCCCATTTGTTTTTCATGTTTCATGCGTGTCCCATGCGAGCGGGTGGTGTACCGTGGGAGGTTCTTGTGGGGCTCGATACTTTGACTCGTCAAAGGGGGCGCTGTTGACCCGCGCGTGTGGTCCTGATTTCGCGTGTGGGCCCTGAGGGCCCGAGCGTGTGCTCGCGCACTGTTGCGAGCGTGGCAGGGCCCACGATCGCAACAAGACAGGGCGAATGATCGCCCTGCCCACGCGCAGTACAGCACGACCAGTATGTCTGGTCGTGCATGATTGCGCACCTGAGGGGTGCGCGTGTGTTTCGAGTGGGTTCTGCGGGATTCCGAAGGGTGCTCGGAATTTACAGTTGAAAAACTGTTTTTCGGAGTTGACTCACGGAACAAGAAATTGCGCACGACAGTCACACCGCTTTGCGGAATGATTTCAACGTAGGTACAAAACGGTTATTCCGTTTTCTCAACGGTAAAAAGCGTTTTACAACTGTTTCCTCGCATGAAATTCATGAGTGCCAAATTGGAGCTACATTGGAACTCATGAGTGCACTCATTTGAGTCAGAAAGGTAATTGTCATATGTGGAATTTGAAGACAGGTATTTCCAAGAGGAGAATCAAGCCAAATTCGCATGGAGTTGAGCGACCGTTTTCCAAGACAGCATGGCGAAATTCTAGAATGGAGTTAAATAACTGTTTCGCTATTTTCCTTTGCTTGTATGTGAGACGAAATATAAAACGTGTGCTTGTGCTTGATTGTTCTCAATCCTTTCTAGTGGAAATATTTTCTGAATCTCTTCGACGAGTTAAGTTGTTGTATCAACGTATTGACGTGAAGAGCTTTTCTGCGCACGAGCCAATCCGTCGTCGAATGCTGCGCAACGAAGTTTGGGAAAGCTCTTGTACGCACGATAATTTTCATACTTAGGGAAATCCCTCTTCAAACACGGACCCTTGGATAGGGGCTGGTTCTACCAGGCACCCAAGGACCCTTGGAGGTGACCCCGTGGGGACTACCTAGTGTTGATTAAAGGTGTGTTAAAGCCCGCATGCAAAATAGTGACCCCCCCCCCTTCTAATTGGGTCCACTAGAAAGCTCATGAAAATTTCCAGAAAGTTTGGTGTTTTTTTCTGAACAGGGCAAGTCCCCAAGTAGTAACAAGACCGATTTGAAGTTGTTTCCGACTTCTGATACGATCAGTCGCAACATGCACAGAAATGTCGCAAGCTTGCTATGACATTTCCACTTCTCCCACCCATCCAAATCCGCATCGAGCACAACACATCTCAAGTTTCACAACGGAACCTGCCACCACACACGCAGCATACACACAATGTTGAGCTAACTAACAACACAGAGTGATGCAAGTAGCAAACAGAAGAACGACAAGGTGACTCGAGAGGAGACAGAGGGGCCGACGGGAATTAGAACGGTAAGGGAGGGGGTATAGCGAGGGCGATTTATGTTGAGGCTAAGCCCTGCACGCGCCTGGTTTCGCGTGTAGCAGCTCTATGCGGAGTAGTGAGACTTCGCATACCGCATACCAGTTTTACCTGTGTTGCGGTATTCGCCAAGTACACTCCAATCTATGCGCTTCGGTATGCGCATTTCGACATTGGACCAGGGAAGTGACGACATTTCACAAACGCGTATGTGCAACTGTCAGTGTTGCAAGAACCTGCGCAACTACACCTGACGGTATTTTCACCTGATGGTATTTTCACCTGGCGGTGCCAGCCTGGAACTGCATACTAGAGTAGGTGCTTGCACGTTCTCCTTGAACAACGTTCTTCATGAACAACGTTCTCGTAGAACGTTCTTGCACACGTCACTATGCTTCTCTATAAGGTTCATGTTGTTTCTGTTGTAATCAATCAATAAATGAAGTTCTTTCTTTCCATTACTGCATACCAAGATTGGCATCAGTATTCGGTTTCCAACAAATCCGTATTCGGTTTACTAGCATCCGCTTTGCAACTCTGCGCCTAGGCTCTCCCATAATCACCTATTCTCCGCATGGTGCGGTGAGCGTGGACGCACACGCGAAATTCAGATACCCTCGAGTACGATTGACGAAGTTGTCAACCTTGGGCCGGCAGCCACATTGATTCCGTATGGCTTGCGAGGGCGCCGCTACGGAAGTCATGGACCTGGAAGCGCAGGTCGCTGCTTTGCGGGAGCGCCACAGCGGTGGCGAAATCAGCGCCGCGGATCTGGAGTTGATGATCGAAGGAGCTCGTGCGAAATGGGCTCGCGATCACCCACCTCCTCGCGCTGATGCGGAAATTGAGTTCGCTTCTCCTCGTGCTGAAGGCAACAACGTCAACATCGATGGCAATGAAGGCGCAAGAGTTACGCGCGGTGAACTGCGTGGGGCCGTCAGAGTGAACGTCGCGAGCGTCGGTGGAACGCAAGCGCAAGTCCTTCGGTCTGCAGCTGCAGCGAGTGCGCGTAGTGACGCGCATGGTTATCGCAACTCTGCACGACGAAGTGGTGGCGGACCCTCGTGGACGGCAAAAGCGTCAACTGTACGCGATGGTGGCATCGCTCCAGAATACGGATACTTCAAGTTTTCACCCGACAAGATTGTCGTGCCGAAGCTACTTGAAGGGCGTCACGACTTGACAACGTGGGTCGAGTCCATTGAGCCGCAGTTGGAAATCGCACAATTGAAGAAGTTCGTTGACGGAACGGTGGAGGTGCCGCCTGAGGAGGATGCGGAACGGCGCGCACAGTTCCATTTTGCACAGCTGTTGACGTTTATGGTGATCTCAAGGTGTTGCTCGCCGGTCGTCCAAGTTGCATTGAAGCCATGCTGTCTTCGTGTTGACGCGGGTTTTCAAGCTTGGCAATTCATAATGAAGACCTACAAGGCAACGGATGACCTTTACATCGGCCAGCTGGAACAGCGGTTGACAAATCTGGAGATGGGGGAGCACGAAAGCGCAACCGCATACTGCAATCGCGCACAACAGATACTTGCAGATCTGCGCATGGCCAGCGTCGACTACGCAATGTCTTCGTACGTTACGCATGTCATCAAAGGTCTACCTGCAAGCTACAATCTCCTTCGTCGAATGGTGAAACTCCCGGGTGTGCGTGAAGAGCTCGATGAGGATACGCTTTCAAGCTACATCATTGAAGAGGAGTTCACTCTTGAATCTGAGCGGCGCAAGGATCAGTTTCTCCCTCAAGTCAACTATGTTGCGTCGAAGCAGAAGCATCCGCAACAGAAGTGGGGACAATCGCGTGGAGGAGGCGACAATGACAAAAACGTCTACCGCGCAAAGACGACCAAGGGCGACGAGCGTTCCGGTGGCGGAAAGCGCAACTCCCAACGATACTGTTTCGTTTGTGGAGATCCCGAGCACTTCGCGAACCAGTGCCCCGACCGCGTCATCAAGGAGGATGGCGATGGTCAGGAAGCTCCGCACGGACGATCGCAAAACCGTCAACCTCGTCGCGAAACCGCATACCGCGAGGACAACCAGCACTCTGATTCCGAGGACGAGCAGCCGTCGGATGCCGGAACCTCCCGCGGAAAGGGTGTGAAGGACGCCCCAAGTGACAATGTGGACCAAGAGGGGCAAGCGTCGTGTTCGATGGCCGTCGTGGTGACGGACGCATCGGCGGAACCGACCATTTCCTTGGCCCCGGAAGCTGGCGAGGACTTCCAAGCGGTAGCTGCAGCGGTGCAAGCAAATCCGACTGTGGTACTCCTCGATAGTGGCTGTTCACATCACCTTATGGGGACGCGTGAGGCATTCGTGGAGATGAATGCGGAAGGCGACGTTCACCATGTGCGTGGATTCAGTGGCGATGTCCAGCCTGTAAAAGGTCGCGGCACAATTGCTCTTCAAGGGGCGGCGGGCACACATGTTCTCATTCCTGATGTGCTGTATGTGCCTGGCGTACAGGCAAATCTGCTGTCAGCTGGACAACTAAAAGACAGTGGTGTGCAGTTTCAGGACACCGGTGACGAGACACTTCTCGTATCTGCTGAGGGAGATATTCTCGGTCGTGCAAGCTACACCGGCCGCGTCCTCTGCACGGACCTCCGTCCGTGTTCGTCGCTGCCAAGCTCTACCCTCCCACCGGTGTACCCGCGTGTGGTACCTGTCACTAAACCGTCAACCTCCTCGCCTGCTGTCGTCACTTCTCCTCTACCGGCTGCGGAAACCTTCTCTCGTCCCACCGCCGACACTCCGTCCGAGTCGGCCGACGACGATGAGGGGAGACATGACGCGCTACCTTCGGCGCCGCACATCGGCATCGTCGACGGTCGACCTGTCGCATCTTCTAAGGAGTCTGGTATGGAGAAACCGGCGCCTGGTCTGCAGAAACCGGCGCCTGGTAAGCAGAAACCAGCAGGGGAGCAGGTGACTGGGGAGCAGGTGACAGGGGAGCAGACCAGCGACAGCTCATCAAGCGATTTTGTGAAGGTCATCGGCGAAGTTGCAGGGGAGCCGTCTGGAGACAGTTCTTCGAGCGATGTGGTGGAAATCAAGCCGCCGACACGGCATTCCACCCGCTCCAACTTTGGTGTGCCTCCACAGAAATGGGCCGATGTGTGCCCGATATTCGCTAACACGCTTCTTGATGACACAGAGGCGGATACCACGCTACCCGAACTGAATCCCGTTCAACACGCTGACCCTGAACGCCGGTGGGATATAGCGACGATGACCGTCAAGGAAGCGCTTACGTACATCCCGAGCGAGCAACCCGTGGATTATTTCACGAAGGCGCTGCATTCCCCAGCAGTCGATCTTGCAGTTGACGCGCGAGACAATGCGCAGGAATAGGTGCCATGTCCTTCAACATGGCTGGTGCGGTGAGTATGCGTGTGCGGAAAACACGCGGACGAGTATAAGGATCGTCACCCTATTGTACTCTATTATTTCCTTTTCGCTTTGTGTGGTGTGCTAACTCCTCAGTTGCCCAGGCACGAGCAGGGCAGGGGAGTGTTGAGGCTAAGCCCTGCACGCGCCTGGTTTCGCGTGTAGCAGCTCTATGCGGAGTAGTGAGACTTCGCATACCGCATACCAGTTTTACCTGTGTTGCGGTATTCGCCAAGTACACTGCAATCTATGCGCTTCGGTATGCGCATTTCGACATTGGACCAGGGAAGTGACGACATTGCACAAACGCGTATGTGCAACTGTCAGTGTTGCAAGAACCTGCGCAACTACTCCTGGGCAGGTAGAAATACACCTGACGGTATTTTCACCTGATGGTATTTTCACCTGGCGGTGCCAGCCTGGAACTGCATACTAGAGTAGGTGCTTGCACGTTCTCCTTGAACAACGTTCTTCATGAACAACGTTCTCGTAGAACGTTCTTGCACACGTCACTATGCTTCTCTATAAGGTTCATGTTGTTTCTGTTGTAATCAATCAATTAATGAAGTTCTTTCTTTCCATTACTGCATACCAAGATTGGCATCAGTATCCGGTTTCCAACAAATCCGTATTCGGTTTACTAGCATCCGCTTTGCAACTCTGCGCCTAGGCTATCCCATAATCGCCTATTCTCCGCAATTTACCGTACAATGGGGGAGATCGCGGGCGACGGAAAATGGAGTAGATCGCGTAGGCGACTGCAAATGGGGGATCGCTATGAGATCGCGTGGGAGATAGCGAGCGCGACGGGGAGAGGGGGGGGAAACAGCGAGCGCGACGGGGTGAAGGGGGGAGATAGCGACGGCGCGGAACGTGATGGGAGATAACGACGGCGCGAGACGTGCTTGCTAGCTTAACTTATGTCGCGAGACGTGATCGGAGGGGATGCCATGAGCGCGAAGGCGATGCGAAGACAGGTGCACGTGAGCGCGATGGTGACGGGAGGGCGGAACGTGAGCGCGATGCCGATGGGAGGGGAAGACGTGAGCGATAGGAGATGAAGTGGGGAAGGAGAAAGGCGACGGGAGGGAGAGCGCGAAGGCGAGGGGAGGGGGAGCGGACAGGCGACGTGAGAGAGAGCGCGAAGGCGAAGGGAGGGAGGGCGGACAGGCAACGGGAGGGAGAGCGCGAAGGAGACGGGAGGGAGGGCGGACAGGCAACGGGAGGGAGAGCGCGAAGGAGACGGGAGGGAGGGCGCGAAGCCGACGGGAGGGAGAGCACGAAGGCGATGGGAGAGAGAGCACGAAGGCGAGGGGAGGAGGAGCGGACACGCGACGGGAGAGAGAGCGCGAAGGCGAAGGGAGGGACGGGGGTTCAGGCAACGGGAGGGAGAGCACGAAGGCGAGGGGAGGGGGAGCGGACAGGCGACGGGAGAGAGAGCGCGAAGGCGAAGGGAGGGAGGGCGGACATGCAACGGGAGGGAGAGCGCGAAGGAGACGGGAGGGAGGGCGGGAAGGAGACGGGAGAGAGGGCACGAAGCCGACGGGAGGGAGAGCACGAAGGCGACGGGAGAGAGAGCACGAAGGCGAGGGGAGGAGGAGCGGACAGGCGACGGGAGAGAGAGCGCGAAGGCGAAGGGAGGGACGGGGGTTCAGGCAACGGGAGGGAGAGCACGAAGGCGAGGGGAGGGGGAGCGGACAGGCGACGAGAGAGAGAGCGCGAAGGCGAAGGGAGGGAGGGCGGACATGCAACGGGAGGGAGAGCGCGAAGGAGACGGGAGGGAGGGCGCGAAGGAGACGGGAGGGAGGACGCGAAGCCGACGGGAGGGAGAGCACGAAGGCGACGGGAGAGAGAGCACGAAGGCGAGGGGAGGAGGAGCGGACATGCGACGGGAGAGAGAGCGCGAAGGCGAAGGGAGGGACGGGGGTTCAGGCAACGGGAGGGAGAGCACGAAGGCGAGGGGAGGGGGAGCGGACAGGCGACGGGAGAGAGAGCGTGAAGGCGAAGGGAGGGAGGGCGGACATGCAACGGGAGGGAGAGCGCGAAGGAGACGGGAGGGAGGGCGCGAAGGAGACGGGAGGGAGGGCGCGAAGCCGACGGGAGGGAGAGCACGAAGGCGACGGGAGAGGGAGCACGAAGGCGAGGGCGGGGGGAGCGGACAGGCGACGGGAGAGAGAGCGGACAGGCGACGGGAGGGGGAAGGGATATCGCGAGGGCGACGGAAGGAAAAGGGGGACATCGAAGGCAACGTGAGGGAAGGGAGATCGTGAGGGCGACGGGAAGGAAGAGGGGACATCGAAGGCGAGGGGCGGGAGAACGGGAAGGCGACGGGATCGGAGGGAAATCGCGAGGTCGAGGGGACAAGAGGGGTAAACGGGAAAATAATGGACCGAGAGGGGAGACCGTGACGACGACGGGAGGGCCGTCACGCGTGTGTTTGCGAGGGCGACGGAAAGGCGACGGGACGGACTAGAGAGCGAGGCGACGGGCAAATTGATCGAGACGGGAAACTGGCACTGCGCTACCAGGCCATGTAAACCTACATTTCACACTCTTGCTAAGTCGACGATTGACGCACTCGTCGGTAATTACGTGGCTATGACACGAACGACTGTGCTTTCAGCTATACTACTTACTATGCTATGCGGAAACTAGTGATGAATGGAGTGACAGAAATCTAGTAATGCACCCATCACCAGCTTGAAAATGAGGTTGGGCCTGCGATGGGAAACCATCGCCTGGGGTTTGTCGTGCGGATGCGGCACGCAAAAATGCGACGGCTGATATGAGAAAGAAAGTTCATTTTGGCGGGAACCATTACGTTCCCATTGTGGCGAGAGCCAATAACATGAGTTCACTCTGCCCATACAAATCGTTTGAAACAGTGTTTTTGATACTCGTTTCATCCTCACTTGCAACTCCTCATTCAAGTTGGGACGGGGGTCACTATTTTGCATGCGGGCTTTAAGAGCCTCTTCATCCCAAATAACGTTCAACACTTTTGACGTGGCCGTCACGTGTTGACGTGACTCGTTGATAGCGACTCTCATAACCCGTCGCCCATCCGACAGCGACGTTCCGCTCGACCAACAAAGTGATCGGTCGACTGTAGTTGACGGCACCATCGATCGTGTCAGTCGGCCGGTTGCGAAATATGTTATCCTCACGCCGACCGTCAGCGCCACCAGGTCAAGCGACGTTGAAGGCGATTTGACACTGGTGTAACCAGTATTGTCGGGGGTGCACGGAGCTCGACGGCGACTGGCCAATGTCCATCGAGCAGTGCTCGATAAAAGTCCCGAAATTGCAACAGTACGGCTGATATATATGTATATATATAGCGCGTAAGAATCCGACATTGAACCCGCGGGTTTTGGAGGGTTTTTTTCGCCCGGTTTCGAGAATTTTTTGGGCTCCCCGCGGGATTCCGCGGGTTTTTCGTTTTGCCCCGACTGAATCGCTTTGTGCCAGGGCGGGCGGGGCGGCATGTAATGACGTCAGAGGGCCCTTGTCATCATCAAAGTCAAATTGTTTTGTGTCATTCCTGTTTACCATTTTCTGTGTGGGGTGTTTAACTCCTTAAGCCTTTTTCATCGTCCAAACCCTTTATCACTGCACCCACGAGATATGTACATACATGCTACTACCCTTTCATCCGTGGTCAGTAGTACTGCCAGACTGTGCACGCGGACCGCGGTATGTGTCAAGCCAAGCAAGAGCAACCCCTGCAGTTCGCATATCATACTGGCACAAGCTGCCGCACCAAAGGCATCACGGATGGAAAGAAAAGGTGTTTTGCGATAGAGGCATAAATCAGCTCCTTTTCACTGGCAGCACCAGCACCAGCAGCAGCAGCAGCAGCAGCAGTCGAAGCACCAGCAACAGCAGCAGCAGCAGCAGCAACGGCAGCACCAGCAGCACCAGCAGGACTGGTATCACTGGCAGTAGCAGCAGCAGAAGCAGGAGGGGCAACAACATGCTATTGGCGCATGGCTCGGTTCCTCTCCCGCGTCCTAAACAGCTCCAGTTCAGAATAAGATGATCCTTCGCTGCCTGTCGCCTCTGTCATCACCACCACTGAACCTGCCCCACCTCTCCACCCTAGCACCACCAGCAGCACAAGCAGCACCAGCAGCACCAGCAGCACCAGCAGCACCGGCAGCACCCTAGCACCACTGCCAGCACAAGCAGCACTATCGGTTTCTCTCCCACAAGCATGACTCCAGTTTCTCTCCCACTGCCTGTCGCCTCTGTCATTACCACCACTGAATCGGCCCCACCTCTCCCCCTTAGCACCACCGGCAGCACCAGCAGCACTGGCAGCACTGGCAGCAATGGCAGTAGCAGGAGCAAAGACAATCTACCGCCGCATGGCTCGGTTCCTCTCTCGCTTCCTAAACCGCTCCAGAATGAGATCATCCGTTGCTGCTTGCTGCCTCTCTTTCACCACCACTGTACTGTACCCACCCCACCTTTCCACCCTCGCACCACCAGCAGCACCAGCACCACCAGCAGCACTACCGCCGCATGGCTCGGTTCCTCTCCCGCTTCCTAAACCGCTCCAATATAAGATCATCCGTTGCTGCCTGCCGCCTCTCCCCTCCCCCTCTCCCCCCACCGCCTCCACCCCCATACCCACCCCCACCCCCATACCCGCCCCCGCCCCCATACCCTCCTCCGCCCCCATCCCCCTGCTGATACGAATCCCCCCCACCGTACCCACCTCCCCCTCCTCTTCCCCCTCCGCCTCCCCTGCCCCCACGGCCTCCCCCTCTCGAGTCTCGGAACATATCGGGGTTGTCTGCAACGGAGGGGACAAGGGACGACGGGGGGGGACAAGGGGTAGAATGGAAGAATAAGAAAAATTGTGGGACGAAAATGTAATGGTGATAAGCTTAGGGTGATGATGCTGACGATACAGATGATGCAGATGCAGTGCAATGGAGACAAAGAGCACGTACCCCTTTTAAGCTTCTCCGCGTATTCACGGCCGCGCTGAAAGAAGTCTGCACTGTAGCTGGCAGGCAGCGTGGTGGACGGAGGGCTGGAGGGCGGGAAGGAGCAGAGGTACAGAACAGGGGAGGGAGGAACAGGCGAGTCAAAATGCGGGCGGGCTGAAAGAATTCTGCACTGTAGCTGGCAGGCAACGTTGTGGACGGAGGGCTGGAGGGCGGAAAGGAGCAGAGGAAGAGAGAATGAGATGGGAACAGAGAAAGGGAGAAACAGAAGTATCAAAGGGACCGCGCTGAAAGAAGTCCGCTGGCAGGCAACGTCGTGGACGGAGGGCTGGAGGGCGGGAGAAGAGGCAAAGAACTGAAAATCGGGTACAGAAACGGGAGAAACAGGCAGATAAAAAAAGCAGCATGAAGAAATGGGTGATGCGCTTGAGAAAGGCCGGACCGGAAGGATGAGAATCGGCAGACAGATGGGAATAGGCAGTACCAAAAACAATGTGAATTTTCAGGCAACTTAAACTTCCTGTAAAGCAGTTGATAAACAGGGTGGAAGGATGGGAATAGGCGGAACCAAACAAATGTGCAGGTCGATATTGAGAATATGGGTGTTTCAACAGTGCCTCTTGCTTGAGAAATGGGATGGAAGGATGGGAGTGGACGGAACCTAGGCTCCTCCAAAAACAAAAAGCCTCTTCACTCCTCCCTCCCCAAATCCCCATTCCGCCCTTTCCCCCATTCCCGTTGTTTATTCCCCCTCCCCAAGAAAGGTACAAGCCACACCGCGGGCGGTTCATGAAGGACCTTCCCTCCTGCAGCATGCACGTGGGGGACTATGGTGACTGAATGAACGCCCCAAACCATGTAACCAACCAACCCATCCTCCCCATCCCTGAAAAGGCAAGCCATACCGCGGGCGGTTCATCCACGGCCTTCTCTCCTGCAGCATGTGCTTTCGTGACTTGTGAGTTGACCGAGTCAACATCCCAAACCATACACCCAACCCAACACCCGCCCCCTCCCCTCCCCACAGGGACAAGCCATACCGGGGGCGGTTCATCCACGGCCGTCTCTCCTGCATCATGCGCTTGGCCTCCTCTGTGGCCTCGATGTTGCCCAGCTTGTAGCTAGGAGGGTGGGATAAAGGGGGGACAAGGAGGGGGTGCAGGAAGGGGAAGGGGAGAAGAGAGGGAAAGGGAGAGAGTCAAATGATACAGCATGCGCTTGGCCTCCTCTGTAGCCTCGATGTTGCCCAGCTTGTAGCTGGGAGATTAGGGGGTGGAGGAAAGGGGGAAGAGGAAGTAAAGAGGGAGAGAGAGTCAGATGCTGCAGCATGCGTTTGGCCTCCTCTGTGGCCTCGATGTTGCCCAGCTTGTAGCTGGGACAGAGATTGAGAGTGGCGGGACAAGGGGGGCTGGAAGAGGGGAATGGGGGGACAAGAGCAAGGGGTGGGGGGGAAAAGTGGGAGAGAGAGAGGGGAGGAAGGGGGAAGGATGATGCTGCATGCGCAGATCGCCTTACTTTCGTGGCTTCAATGTTTGGCCAGCTTGTTGCTGGAAGCTAATATTAGGGGGTGCGGGTGCGGGTGCGGGTGCGGGTGTGGGTGCGGGTGCGGGTGGGGTGATGGGAGGGATGTGCTCAACCTTGCATTTAGATCAGATCAGAGCACGCACTTTGCTCCCTAGGCAGGCCTGCATAGAGAGCAACACGGTGTTTTTGAGAATTCTCAAAAACACCCTGCAGCATGATGAAAAGGATGTGCTCAACCTTGCATTTAGATCAGATCAGAGCACGCACTTTGCTGCTTCCTAGGCAGGCCTGCATAGGGAGCAACACGCTCACAGTCCCATGCACGCTGCTCGGTCCTCGTGCGTTCCCAACGTGCTGTAAGTGCAAATCTCTCCCACCTTACTCTCCCAGTTAGCGTATGAATGCAACATCACCTAGCAACTCGCCCCCCACGCATATCTCACTCGCACGCAAAGGGCAGCTGCACTGCACCTGTGCCGTCCTCCTCAAACCACCGCAGTTGACCCACCCAACGCATCTCTCTGCTCAACCCCCCTCTTTATTCCCCTCCCCACTCACTCAATGGGCAGCTGCACCTGTCGTCAATACCCAACGGCAACTCCCCAACGGCAATACCAGTCGTCCATGCCGTTCCGCCCTCCTCTGTTGCTTCCAGCTGCAACTCATACAACAACACGCCCCTGCTCTACCATACGCATCTCTCTCCTCAATCTTCCTCTTCATTCTTTCTCCCAACTCACTCAATGGGCAGCTGCACCTCCGCAATGCACGTCGTCCATGCTGTGCCGCCCTCCTCCGTTGCTCCCAGTGCAACTCACTCATATGACACCACACACCCCTTGCAACCCTCTCTGTTCATTTCCCCTCTCTGTTCAGTTCCCCTCTCTATGCCTTCTCCCAACTCACTCAATGGGCAGCTGCACCTCCGCAATGCCCGTCGTCCATGCTGTTCCGCCCTCCTCCCCCTCCAGCTTCCCCACCTGCACACAAACGTGAAGGCGAGAAGAGAGATTAGAAGAAGGCACAAAAAACCACCACAACACATGCTGCCAGTGGTGTGGTCTTTGCTGTATCGCCCTTGACCCAAACCTCACCGGGAAACCAATTCGGACGAGCCGTAAGGGGGAAGGGAGTTGCACCACTCGCTTCCCCCTCCGTCCTTGCTCAGCTTCGATTGCATGTCACTAAGTGAGTCTCCCCCTCTCCAGCTTACAATCGATTTTTGAGTCGACTAAAAAATCGCCTCATCACACGCGGGTTGCACCATTCGCTTTCCCCCCTCCGTCCTTGCTCAGCTTCGATTGCATGCGGCTAAGTGAGTCTCCCCCTCCAGCTCACAATCATCGTCCTGCTTGTAATGCCATTCACTATAGTCACCTGAAAGTGCTGTGCGATCTTATACAGCTTGTCTTCAGCCCGCAACCCTTCCTCGTCCCCATCCCTCCCCTCTCTCTCTCATGTTAAAGCAGCATTCCTTATAATCTCCTGCTAGCTTGTGATTGTAACATTCACTGTAATCACCTGCAAGTGCTGTGGAATCTCATACAGCTTGTCCTCAGCACGCAACACTTCATCCTCCCCCTCCCCCTCCCTCGCGTTGCCTTAACATTCGTTAATAACATTCACTATAATCACCTGCAAGTGCTGAGGAATCTCATACAGCTTGTCTTCAGCCCGCAACACTTCATCCTCCCCCTCCCCCTCCCCCCTGCCGCCCCCAGCTGCCCCCGCCCCTCCCCCTCGCCGCTTCGCCAGCTCCTCCTCAATGTACTTGAGCCTGGGGGGGCAGGGGGGGGGGCATTGGGGAAGGCGGGGGGGAAAAGGGAACCAGGAAGTGGGAGAGGGGGAGGGGGGGCATGGGTGGGGCATGAGGGTCAGGGCATCGAGCTTAACGCAACACCCCCTCGCCGCTTCGCCAGCTCCTCCTCAATGTACGCGAGCCTGGGAGGGGGGAGCAGGGAGGGAGGAGCGGGAAGGGGGAGAGGAGGAGGACATGGGAATCAGGGCATGAGCCTCAACACTCCCTGTGCACGTTACCAGCTCCTCCTCAACCACTTGTGAGCATGGGACGGAGGAAGGAACAAACGCTTGGGCAATGACGAGGGTTCGGGCGGTAAGAGCATGGGAACGTACATGTTCGGGTCTTCTACAGTAATCGCCGTTTCCTGCGCAAACGTGTCCTGTAGAACCAGCTCCTCCCCCCCTTCTCCTTCCTCCCCCGTCTCCCCCTGCGCCCCCGCGCCTCCCCCCTTCCCCTCCGCCCCTTCCGCGCCTGTGAGCGCCCCGTCCGCTGCTATCCCCTTGAGGCGCACGCGCTGCTGCTGCAGCAGGCGCACTTCCTCTAGCGCAGACCTGGGGAGATGGAGAGGGGTTGGGAGCGGTAAGGGGGTGTTTGCAGGGACACACTGAGCGCCCCGTCCGCTGCTATCCCCTTGAGGCGCACGCGCTGCTGCAGCAGCAGGCGCACTGCCTCTAGGGCGGACCTGGGCAGATGGAGAGGGGTTGGGAGCGGTAAGGGAGTGTTTGCAGGGACACACTGGGCGCCCCATCTGCTGCTATCCCTTTGAGGCGCACGCGCTGCTGCAGCAGCAGGCGCATTTCCTCTAGGGCGGAACTGAGGCGGGTAGATACGAGGAAAGAAAACGGGGGTGGGGGGAGAAAGGGGATGGAACGGTTGGCTTGAGCCGCACCCGCTGCTGCTTCAACAGAAAGACTTCCTTTAAGTCGTATTCGAAGGAGGGAAAATACGGGGATTGAATTCGCCAAGGGGAAAGAGGGACGGATGAGTTGAGCCACACGCGCTGAGGTGACGCCTCGCGTGGAATAACGAGAGCGCGGGTCATATAAACGACGGACGATTGGGGACAAGGGAACGGCACTGAGGATCGCAAGGTCGTTGCATCGAACGGTTGACAGCCCAACCTAGGTTTGGTAAAGAATAGGTACGACCAAACCTACGCACGGTCAGACCTAGATACGGTCAACCCTAGGTACGACCGAACCAAATTACGGCCAAAGCTAAACACGATAAAATCTAGGTATGGCGGGAAACTCGGTATAACGCGTACCGGACGTCCTTCTGCTCCTCGGGCTCCCCTCCGCCATCCCCGTCCTCCTCGAGCGCTTTCCGCTTCCGAAACTGCCGCTTCTGCTGCACCGGCATCGTGTCGCACACGGGATCGCAGGAATACGCGTCGCACGGTGTGATCGCAGATTTAAGCGTCGCGGGGAAGTGGGCGTGGCTACTTGCAAGTACACAAGTTTCTGTCACCAAAATGGCAGGAAGACAATCATCGACTGAGACAGAAGGCAGGTGAAAGAATCCGAGACGCAAACCCTAAAATTACACGAACTCTGGTTGCACTTTTGTCGGAGCCAAACCTCCTTCAAAATCACACCACACGAACCAGAACTCCAAAGAGTGTACAGGCCGGAAGTTGGTCTCGCTTTCGTCGTCGCGAATCCAAGCGCGAAATGGGTTTGGGTGGTGGATGGAGATTAGCTGAATTGCGATGCTAGTAACATTTCAGATTTCGCTTGCACCCAGCGAAAGCCGTAAATGACAGAACCTAGTGACTTGAACCCTGGCTTTATGAATACGGCCCTGCGCAAGCTTTGTTGCAAACCAGTGTGTCACCCCTCTAATGACTTGGCACCGCTATTTTCTCGCAGCAGACAATCAACGTAATAATTACTACTAAAAAAATTCCACATAAGCAGCAAACTTGCACGAGTCATGCACGCGACAGCATCCCCTGCGCCCGTGCGCAATGCCGTCGCCGGCTGCACTCATTCCCGCTCGCCGGCGGCCTTTCATTCGCCGTCAGCCAGAAACCCTCCTCGAGGCGGCTCGGCATCTGGCGCCGCCATGTTCACTCGCGCCACCGCAGCGGCTCCAGGATGCGGTTTGGCGGTCGGACGCGTCGCGTGCGCTTCTCTCAAGATTAGGCCGACATACTGCACGAATAAAGCGCGCGCCGCCTTCGAGGCGTCGCGAAAGCAGGCTGATAGCAAAGCGCTTCGGCTCGTCCGCGAGGGACGTAGAGGGTCGAGGAGGGGGATCGCGGCGCCCGCAGCCGACGGAGGCGCAGCCTCTGCGAGTGTGACTGAAGCGGATGTGGCTGAAGCGGATGCTGCGGCAGTGGAGGCGGCGGCGTGGGAGATTCTGGACGACTTTAACCGACGAGACGTGCGCGGCGAGCCGCAGGTAGGCTGAGACGTGTGGGGCGAAGCGCAGGTAGGTGCGCCAGAGACCTTCATACTAACAGCTATACCATCCACATTGCCGCCCACCCCACCCCCATCGCACCCCACCCCCATCGCCGCCCACCCCACTTCCATCGCCGCCCACCCCACCCCCATTGCCGCCCATCCCACCCACATCGCCACCCACTCTCATCCACGTTGCCGCCCATCCCATTCCCATTGCCACTCCCGTCCTACCCCTCCCCCCCTACCCAGGTCTCCCTGGCAACCCCGGGAGGCGTTTCCGCCCTCAACGCCTCCCTGCTGCTCTCCTGACTCTCAGTCAACATTGCATTGCTCCTTCTCTCCTGCTTACTTCCCTTCTCTCCCTACCTACCTACCCACCCTCTGCTTCCCTTCCTCCCCGCAGGTCTCCCTGGCAACCCCAGGGGGCGTTGCAGCACTCAAGGCCTCTCTGCTGCTAGCTGCCGAAGCTGCACTACGAGACGAATCCGCCCGCCCGCTGCTTGGCATCTGCTGCGGCAGTGTGGAGGAGGGCTTTGCCGCCCTCCGCCAGTACCTGGTCGCTCTCGGCTGCGCTGACCCTGTGAGAGCTGGTTACCCTGTTACCCTGTTGTTACTGAGTCAACGACCCACAAGTATGCACACGCGGCAGCACATTGTTCTCGATTCGCAAGGCAGTGAGTGGAACAAGGCGTTGCCTCCCTCCGCCGGGACAGTCCCTGGTCGTCCTTGGTTGTGCTCACCCTATAAATACTGGTTACCCTGTTACCCTGTGAGTGCAACACACTGTGGAAGAGGGCTTTGCCTCTCTCTGCCAGTATTTGCTGGCCCTCGGCTGTGCTGACCCCGTGAGTGCTGGTTACCCTGTTACCTGTCGTTACTGCATAACGATCCACCCTATACACACGCACCAGCACATAGTTGTCCCGGATTGGCAACACAGTGTATGTACGGAGGAATACTTTTGCTTCTCCCCGTCAGTACCTGCTGGCCCCTGGCTGTATTTTTGAGACGTCTCAAAAATACTTTTTTTACACGTACCTGCTGGCCCTTGGCTGTGCTGACCCCGTGAGTGCCGTTGCTGCTGTTACCCTGTTACCCTGTTGCCTTCGCCTCTATCCGCCAGCATCTGGTCGCCCTTGGCTGCGCTGACCCATGAGTGCAGCGAGTCGGGATATCTATAGAGATCTAGCTCAATCCTAGTAGCTATAAGGGCGTATCTCACTTCAGGTCATAGAAACACTTCGGGTCATAGAAGCACTTCGGGTCATAGAAGCACTTCGGGTCATAGAAGCACTTTGGGTCATAGAAGCACTTTGGGTCATAGAAGCACTTCGGGTCATAGAAGCACTTCGGGTCATAGAAGCACTTTGGGTCATAGAAGCACTTCGGGTCATAGAAGCACTTTGGGTCATAGAAGCACTTTGGGTCATAGAAGCACTTTGGGTCATAGAAGCACTTCGGGTCATAGAAGCACTTCGGGTCATAGAAGCACTTCGGGTCATAGAAGCACTTCGGGTCATAGAAGCACTTCGGGTCATAGAAGCACTTTGGGTCATAGAAGCACTTCGGGTCATAGAAGCACTTCGGGTCATAGAAGCACTTTGGGTCATAGAAGCACTTCGGGTCATAGAAGCACTTTGGGTCATAGAAGCACTTCGGGTCATGGAAGCACTTTGGGTCATAGAAGCACTTCGGGTCATAGAAGCACTTCGGGTCATAGAAGCACTTTGGGTCATAGAAGCACTTTGGGTCATAGAAGCACTTTGGGTCATAGAAGCACTTTGGGTCATAGAAGCACTTCGGGTCATAGAAGCACTTCGGGTCATAGAAGCACTTCAGGTCATAGAAGCACTTCGGGTCATAGAAGCACTTTGGGTCATAGAAGCACTTTGGGTCATAGAAGCACTTCGGGTCATAGAAGCACTTCGGGTCATAGAAGCACTTCGGGTCATAGAAGCACTTCGGGTCATAGAAGCACTTCGGGTCATAGAAGCACTTTGGGTCATAGAAGCACTTTGGGTCATAGAAGCACTTCGGGTCATAGAAGCACTTCGGGTCATAGAAGCACTTCGGGTCATAGAAGCACTTCGGGTCATAGAAGCACTTCGGGTCATAGAAGCACTTCGGGTCATAGAAGCACTTTGGGTCATAGAAGCACTTTGGGTCATAGAAGCACTTCGGGTCATAGAAGCACTTCGGGTCATAGAAGCACTTTGGGTCATAGAAGCACTTTGGGTCATAGAAGCACTTCGGGTCATAGAAGCACTTTGGGTCATAGAAGCACTTCGGGTCATAGAAGCACTTTGGGTCATAGAAGCACTTCGGGTCATGGAAGCACTTCGGGTCATAGAAGCACTTTGGGTCATAGAAGCACTTCGGGTCATAGAAGCACTTTGGGACATAGAAGCACTTTGGGACATAGAAGCACTTCGGGTCATAGAAGCACTTCGGGTCATAGAAGCACTTCGGGTCATAGAAGCACTTCGGGTCATAGAAGCACTTCGGGTCATAGAAGCACTTCGGGTCATAGAAGCACTTCGGGTCATAGAAGCACTTCGGGTCATAGAAGCACTTTGGGTCATAGAAGCACTTCGGGTCATAGAAGCACTTTGGGTCATAGAAGCACTTCGGGTCATGGAAGCACTTTGGGTCATAGAAGCACTTCGGGTCATAGAAGCACTTCGGGTCATAGAAGCACTTTGGGTCATAGAAGCACTTTGGGTCATAGAAGCACTTTGGGTCATAGAAGCACTTTGGGTCATAGAAGCACTTCGGGTCATAGAAGCACTTTGGGTCATAGAAGCACTTCGGGTCATAGAAGCCCTTCGGGTCATAGAAGCACTTTGGGTCATAGAAGCACTTTGGGTCATCGAAGCACTTTGGGTCATAGAAGCACTTTGGGTCATAGAAGCACTTTGGGTCATAGAAGCACTTTGGGTCATAGAAGCACTTTGGGTCATAGAAGCACTTTGGGTCATAGAAGCACTTTGGGTCATAGAAGCACTTTGGGTCATAGAAGCACTTTGGGTCATAGAAGCACTTTGGGTCATGGAAGCACTTTGGGTCATAGATGCACTTCGGGTCATAGAAGCACTTCGGGTCATAGAAGCACTTCGGGTCATAGAAGCACTTCGGGTCATAGGAGGACCAGTGGTATTCTAGTAGTGTAACTGAAATGCGCCTTATTGGTCGTCCAAGAATAACGGATGACCCAACCAGTGCCCATGACCATGACCCGAACTGAGATACGTACGCCCTTAGTCGGCATACTTCGAAAACTTATGATTCTATGCAGAAAGGCTCAACTCAACCCTAAACTAACATCCCTGCCTATATGCCTCTTGAATGAACTTCACCGCCTTTATCCCTCTGCAGCTCCGCTCTGCTCCATTCTCCGCTCTGCACCATCTCTTCATCTCACTTTCCGTTGTAGGCTGAGCTTGAGAATCTCGAACTCAACTTTTCCATCCTTTGAGGCGCCTCAGAAGTCAGCACCATCGCCTCCTCTCACGTTGAAGCACGGCCTTATCCATTTCTCATTGTCGCCCGACTCTCCAACCATTTCCACCACTTTGTACCTCCCGACTGACTGCCATGCCATGGAATCAAACCCACCAGGCTCTGTTGGATCAGCCCAGAGGGCTTCTGGAGGCGTGGCAAGCCAAGCATGGCAAGGAGTTGATGTGGTTTGGAGATTCTCAAGACCAACCACTTGCCCCTTCAACCGCAACTTGTTTCAACCTTGCAGGCTCTGTTGAATCAGCCCAGCCAGGGGGTTGCTGGAGGCGTGGCAACCCGAGCAATTTCTGCAAGCAACCTCGAAACCCTTTTCCACCATTTTGTACCCCTCTCAACCACAATTGGTTTGACTTAAACAGGCTCTGATGGATCAACCTGGGGGGCTGCTGGTGGCATGGCAGGCCAAGCACACCAAGGAGGTGGTGGGGCCTGCGTACATCAAGTTCAACAGCAACTCCAAGGTAAGGCCTTAAGTGAGTTCAGCTGACTAAGGTACTTAAAGTCAAGCATGGCTGCTCACTGCAACCCAAGAACGCCAAGGAGGTGGTTGGGCCTGCTTACATCAAGTTCAACAGCAACTCCAAGGCAAGGTGAGATTTGACACATCTCATCTCACAAATGAAGCCTCACGTGGTGTTCAGCTGACTCAAAGGTATCTGACTGGTGCTGCTCACTGCAACAAGCCAAGCACGCCAAGGAGGTGGTGGGGCCTGCCAAGGAGTTCAACAGCAGCTCCAAGGTGGGTTGCTGTTTTATTGGGTCTACTTTTATACTCCTTGTAACCACCAAATGGCGCTCTCTGAAAAAGGCCAAGCACGCCAAGGAGGTGGTGGGGCCTGCTTACATCAAGTTCAACAGCAACTCCAAGGTGGGGTGGGTTCCTTCCATCTGCTGCTCTGTTCAACTTACTCTGCTGCACTTGTGCCGCTCTTCTGCTTCTCCCATGTGTGCCATGCAGACATGCCAACTGTCAACATACCAGCTTTTGAGTCGACTCAAAAGCATACCAGACAGAGACATTTTGAGGAGAAGAGTACTCGTTCAGGTGTTCCCTCCGTTGCTCAAATTGCGCCTCTCTATTCCTCCCCCCATCGCTCCGTTATCCCATGCGTGCCACGCAGACGTGCGACATTCCGAGGAGTGACCATTCAGGGTGCTCTCTGCTGCTCACTCTGTGCGTCTCTCTTCCCGTCCCATTACGCCTTTGCCCCATGGGTGGGTGCCATGCAGACATGCCAAGTGTCTCCATACCAGACAGGGACGTTCCGAGGAGTCATTGGTCAGGTGTTCCCTCTGTTGCTCACCGTGTGCCTCTCTACCCCCCACCACCCCCCCTCCCCCCCATTACTCCTTTGTCCCATGCGTGCCATGCAGACATGCCAAGTCTCACCATACCAGACAGGGTCGTTCCGAGGAGTGATCGTTCAGGTGTTTTCTCTGTTGCTCACGTTGTGCCTCTCTTTTACTCCAAACGATTGCTCCCATGCCTGATGAGTGGATGTCCTGCACACGTGTCAAGTCTCGCCATACCAGACAGGGTCGTTCCAAGGAGTGATCGTTCAGGTGTGCACTGTGTGGCTCACGTTGTGCCTCTCTATTCCTCCCCTGATTACCCCTTTGCCCCATGGGTGGGTGCCATGCAGACATGTCAAGTGTCGCCATACCAGACAGGGACATTCCGAGGAGTGATTGTTCAGGTGGGCACCGTGTGCGCTGTGTATACTAAGTCATTTGAGTTGTGAGGCGTTGTGTCTCAAACTCGTCCCGGAGGAGTCATTGTGAGTCACTTTTGAGAATTCTCAAAAGTGACTTTCGATCCGAGGAGTGTTTTTTTGAGTTGGGCACCGTGTGTGCTGTGCGTGTGCACTGTGTATACTGAGTCATCTGAAGAGTTGTGAGGCGTCTCAAACTCATCCCGAGGAGTCATTGTTCAGGTGTGCACTGTGTGGCTCCCCGAATGCTGAGTTGTGAGGAAGCAGTGTGCCTCTTGGAACTCGTTCCAGCGAGTCATTGTTTGTACATGGGTGCATTCCGCTGCTCATCACTTCTTACGTACTGCCATCACCTCGTCGTCAACCACATGCCGCCACAACCTACTTCACTCGGTTCCGTCTTTGAGTTTGTTAATCAAAACACTCGGTCACTCTTCCACACGTTTAGCAAACTCAAAGACGCCCGTGTTTGGAGAATCTGTCTTGGGTATTAGTTATTCGGTTTCACAGCACGTTTTATTCACCTTCGTTTGACCTTTGAAGCGCCTCGAAAGTAGCACTACACGATTGATCAGCCTCAATCTGGCAGAGTCGCTCTGGGCGTGAGTACCATCCCTGCCTAACCAGCATTTGTTTCGCGTCAACTAAAAAACCCCTCCATCCCTCCCTGTCCCTCACTGTACCTCTTCTCCACTACCACTCCCACTCCCTGCTGAACTGCCTCCTCCCTACCAGTGTTCCCATCCCCTCTCAGTTTTACTTGCATCCATTGATGAATCCCTGTCACGCCTACCTCCACTCTCCTCACTGATCACTCCTCATCATCTACTTAGCATTACTCTCTTGTATTATTACTGTAATTTTCTCATATGTGACTACATATCACATGATATTGTAATAATTGTCGGATGACACATCTTTTGTTTTTTGTAATGTGATATGGCACCCTCCCTCCCTCCCCACACAGCTCGGTCGCCGGCAAGTGGGCCACCTCCCACTCTCGCTCATCCTATAATGACTCATACAAGTGATGGCCACCCATTCGAGTTGCAATCCCCACACTTATGCAGCCCTGACATGCCACTTTCCTCTACCATCACCCCCCTTCCTCCCCACACAGCTCGGTCGCCGGCAAGTGGGCCACCTCCCACCCTCGCTCTTCCCATAGTAACCGAATTTCATGTTACAAGCCCCATACTTATGCATTTCTCACGCGCCGCTGTCCCTCTCCCTCCCTCCCCACACAGCTCGGTCGCCGGCAAGTGGGTCACCTCCCACTCTCGCGCTTCCTATAGCCACTGCAGATTCATTTGAGTGCTATTGTTATTGGCCTTACTATACAGCTCCCTCTCTCTACCCTCACTTCCTGTCCTCCCCACACAGCTTGGGCGCCGGCAAGTGGGCCACCTACCACTCTCGCTCTTCCCGTAGTCACTCCAACTTCAACAAACTAGTCTCTATGCGTGCGGCCCTCTCCTGCTGCTCTCCCTTTGCCTGCAATGTGGCCAGTGGGTCACCTACCACTCTCCCTCTTCCTGTAATGACCGCACCTTCAAGTGGCAACTCCCATCTGCATGCGCCCCTCACATACCGCTCTTACTCTTCCTACAATGGGGCCAGTGGGTTTCTCCCTCCCTCATACCCATACAGCCCTCCTCATCTGCCTGCTCTCCCGCTTCCCGCAATAAGGGCAATGACTTACCTCAATGAGACAAGCCCCTGCCCTCGCACCCACTGTCGCCAATCAACTCAACTTAGTCACATCACATGCCTTGTGCTTAATCCACTTGCACCCGTCTAGTTTATTGTAACTGATTTACACTCGAAAATGACCTCATTGCATGGTGCTTGATAAAAACCCTCTGCTTTTGTGTTAGAGAGATCCTGATCGAGGTACAAAACGTTGCGGAACTTCCCTGGCTGTTCATACAGTACACAAGTCCAGTGGTTTGTCGTATTCGGCTATTTTAGGACTTGACGCGTCACCTGAACGCCGATCCTGCGATCGATCGTCGAAAGTCGATCTTCCACCGCATTTTAACTACGCGCATCGTAGTAAAAACCTCCAGATGCAAAATAAACCACGCACAAATTCGATCCTACGTAGGATCGATCCTGCGATCGGCGTTGAGGTGACGTGTCCTCGGATCAATTGGGCTCACCTAGCCGTGCGGCCGACTTTTCCTAGCCAGAAATTCACCTTGGAAATTCCGGTTTTTTTTGTCTCAGTTAGCTGATGTACACCGTGGCGCTCGAGTCGAGTGAACGACTGCTGCGAGAATCCCAGGTTCCAAGAATCATTGACTCCATCCTGAAACGATGCGCTTCTCTGATAGGTCAGCTGGATAGCAAACATGTACATTGGTTGCAAACATACTCGTGATCCTAATGGAAGACAGGGGCTCCGCCGAACGCGTCGGATGTAGCATATGACGGAAAGATTCTCAGCCGTAACATGACGGTTCATCATTCCACGGTGACTTCATTATTTCCTGGAGCCTTTAAAGCAATGATCGAGCTCGTGCGAGACCCGACTTCGCCCGATGGCTTCCCCTGCGGCGCTTTCTTTGCTTGCGCCATGGCCCCCCTCGTCTCCGCCACTCGTCGATCCGCGTTCCCAGAACAGTCAAGCCGAGCCGCTGGCGCGAAGCCCATCGTTAGCAGCGGTTCCAGTGGTAGTTACGGCGGCAGCGCCGGCGGGTGCGGAGGGCGCAGCGCCGGGTGCAGCAGCAGGGGGGGTTATAATCGTGCTTCCGTACTGCCTCGTGGCGGTGGTCATTGTTGTGGTTATCAGCAGTTTTGTCATCGCAACTCGTTACTGCGCTCGACGTGCCTACATTCAGCGACATGATGAACCTGGTCGCCGAGCGAGAAACAACGCGTCGCCGCCGCCAGGTACGAGTCGCGGTGCTGGTCAGCAATCATCTGCCGTCGCCGCCGGACTGGACGCGGAGCGAATCGCGACGTTCCCCGTGTGGTCGTACTGCCTTTACCCCGCTGCTATTGCGAGGGATTTCTCCGCTGGCGAGAAAAGCGAGGGAAACGGCGACAAGGATAATACGCAGGGAATTCACACAGCTGCAGCTACTACAGTAAGGGATATAACTTCAGACCCCGACGCCGCTGACTTGTCTGTAACACCAGAACTTCGAGTGGGTAATTTGTCTACTCGGGAGAGGCTGTTATCAAGCACGGAATGTACAGTGTGTTTGAGTAATTTGCACGAGGGGGAGCTGATCCGGATCCTTCCGCCGTGCGAGCATCGGTTCCACGTGGCCTGCATCGACCACTGGCTCGCCACCAAGACCACGTGTCCAGTCTGCCGAACGGACCTCCAATCGTCGGATCCGATTGTGACTGCCGAGGATTCCGAGGTAACGGATAAGGTGGAGGGAGGAGACAACGCAGTCTGATGCAATTATTTCTTCAAAACGCATCAAAACCTAATATATCAGTCAGGGTGGGACGATGCAAACGCAAGCACTAAGCAAAAGCTAGTTTTTTGCCACTTGATTAGCACGCAATGAGGACGCGGGAGTGGTTGTAGCGAGAAGTTAGGGATGGGAGTGGGGTAAGAGTCACTAAGCAGTACCGCCGAAGCAGGCGGAGTACAAAGGTAATAATAGTGGAAGATGCGACTCGTTGGTTTATGTTATCCTCCCAACTGAGCATCTCCGTGGTCCGGTTCGGTGGGACGGGGTGATTCTCAGTCACATGCAGAATTTGGTTATCCATGTCATTGTGAATGTATTGTATTTTCAAAATTGGGCTTTACAGGAATATATCTGATTTGTGACCACCACAATAACTTGTTATGCATGAACAAACTGAGCTATCACATAATCCTTTAGCTGCACAAGAAGAGAGCTACTTTATCGGGATTCAGAAAGGATTGCTTTTCTTACTCAACTATTTCTTCCCACACCATTCCCATCTACCTTCCCCTCCCCCTCATCCCTCCTCGTCCTCCCCTCCCTCCACCACGCCCTGACGGCGACCACTCCCCACGCCCACCTCCCCCTCGCCCCCCTCGTCCCCCACTCCCTCCCCCTCTTCCACCTGCTTCCCCCCCTCTACCCCCTCCCACACGACCCCTTCCCCTTCCCCTCCCCCTACCCCTCCCCCCTCCTCTGCCACGCCCAAAGCCTCTCCCCCTACTGCCTTCGTAGCCGCCTCCGACAAATGCTGGTAGGGAGAGAGGGCGGGAGGGGGGATTGGGTTGAAGAGCAAGAGTGAGTATGCAGAGGAAGAGAGTTCACAACATGGTAATGTCACAAGATGTGAATATGCGCAATGCAAAGCCTCCTTTACGGCCCTCATAACTGCCTCCAACACAGGCTGGAAAGGGGAGAGTGGCGTTGGGAGGGAGAGAGGGGGGCCGGGACAGGAATGGGGTGGAGACCAAGAATGAGTACGTAGGAGGAAAGTTTGAAGACTGGATTTTTTCAACAGGAGCTATGGATATGCTTAAAGCAGAACTAAACAGCTGAGCAGGGGGAAAGAAGGAAGATGAGATTTTTTTAAAACAGGCGCCATGGACATTACTGGTAGCTCTGCCCAGGATGCACGAGCAGCCCTCACTCTCGATTAGGCTCCTCGCCAACCTCCTTTCAGTACCAGTCCACAAGAAGAGTTGGAGCGAGGGAGCGGAGCGAGGAGATAGAAATAGGAAGGCAATGGACTCTGAGCAAGCAGAGGTGGTAGGAAGTAGCGGAGGAAAAGCACTCACTGTTATCAGGCTCCTCGTCGACCTCCTTGCACGTGAGGGAGCAGCGGAGAGCAGGAGCGGCAGAGCGAGGAAACAGAACAAGGAGGGAAGGAAACCACTTACTGTCATCAAGCTCCTCCTCACTAACCTCCTTGCGAAACCAGTCCACATCATCCTCCTTGATGTCGTTACCACCAGGATTGACTTTTAAGTTGACTTTTGAGTTGACTATTGAGTTGACTTTTGAGTCGACACAAAAGTCAACCTCCTTGCAAAACCAGTCCACATCATCCTCCCTGATGTCGTTACCACCAGGATTGCGGAGCTAACTGGAATCAGACCTAACTAGGCGGAATCAGACCAAACGTAGGGGTGGAGGTAGGACAAAAAAAGGCACTCACTGTCATCGGGCTCCTCCCCAACCTCCTTGCGGTACCAGTCCACGTCATCCTCCTCCTCCTCCTCCCCCTCGCCCTCCCTCGCCCCCACCGCCTTCCCTTGCTCTTCCTCCCCATCGCTGTCCTCCCCATCCTCCCCCTCAGCTGCCTTGCCCTTGGATGCCTTGAGCCTGGTGGTAAAGAAAAAGGGTGGGGGGGGAAGGATAAAGGAAAGCAGGTTGAGTTGACAGTACTTCATTCCTCTTCATTCCCTAGGATCCCCCCCTCTTACTCCCACCCCCTTCTTTCCCCCTTCCCTGCCCCATCAGCACTCCTCCAAATCCTCCACCCACTCACATCTCCTTCCCCCAGACATTTGCCTCCTGCTCCTCCATTCATCTCCCTATACCTCCCTTATCCTCTCCCCCCTTCCCTGCCCCCTCACACTTGCCCCTCCCTGCGGCCCCCAGTCCCCCCATTCGAACCCCCCACTTACATCTCTTCCTCCGCACGTTGGCCTCCTGCTCCTTTGTCCACCTCTTCTGAAATCAGCCTCTAACCCTTGGCCCTCCCAGCCCATACCTGCACCCTAAATGCCCCTCCCAACACCCCCCCTGTCCCCCTCCTCCCCCCAGCCCCCCCACTCACATCTTCTTCCTCCGCACATTTGCCTCCTGCTCCTCCTTCCGCCTCTTCTTCTCCCTCTGCCGCTCCTCTGCCCTCCGCTGCAACTCCGCCTCCTCCTCTGCTGTCTTCTCAACTGGAGGGGGGGAAGGGGAGGGGGAAGGAAGGACAGCAAGACATGGAGGAAGTGAGCACAGACGGTGCTGTCCCTCTGCTCCTCTCTCTCCCCTCCCCCCCCCCACAACTCACCAAATCGGTGGTACATGACAGCTCCATTGGACAGCCCCTCCTCCGCCTTGACCAAACGAGGAATACCCTTTTCCCCCAGTCCCCCACCCCCCCTTCTCTCCCGACCCTCCTCCCCATATTCCCAACCTTACACCCCGCACCCCCGCCACTCACCGAATCGGTGGTACATCACTGCGCCATTGGAAAGCCCCTCCTCCACCTTGACCAGTAGCAGCGTGACACGTGGCCCCAGCTCGTGCAGCTTCACCTGGCTCTGCTGCGCCGCCCGCACGCCCCGCCCCATGTCCTGGGGGGCCTGCACTCGACTCCCCTCGTCCGCCTCACTGTCTGAAGGGTAAGCAGCTGGCCTGCGTGGGGTGGGTGTGCAGAGAGGGGTAGTGAGAGTCAGCACAACAAACACATTGGCTCTGCTGCGCCGCCCGCACGCCCCGCCCCATGTCCTGAGGAGCTTGCACCCTGCTACCCTCATCTGCTTCGCTGTCTGAGGGATAGGCTGCTGGCCTGTGTGGGAGTGGGGAGGAACATAGCGAAACTCAGGACAACAAACACATTGACACCCCCACTGACTGCTCGCACGCACCCTGGCTTGCAGGGCCTGCACCCTGCGGCCTTCATCCGCCTCACTGTCTGACGGATAGGCTGCTGGCCTGCGCAGGGAGGAGCTTAGACAATCCTTACGCTATAACAGATCGTCGTTACCTAATAACGGATCCTCACCTTATAGAGGTCGCCCTTACCTTATAGCGAGCTCCTACCTTGTAACGAGTTCGCTGATATCGGAGAGGTGGCTGAGGTTGGGCAGTGCGTGGTGGTGCACGAGATTGCGCAGCGGCTTTGACACCCCCACGGGGCGGGCGGTGATGGCGTAATGGCGCATGTCAATAGTCCCACTGGCAGGGTCGTGGTTCAGGAGCAGGACACGCCTGCAATCGGAGAGTTTCACCTGGTGGAGTGAAGAGAGGAAGAGGAAGGGTAAAAAGGGAGGGTTGAACGGGCAGTGCGCGGTTAGAGAGGTTACGTGGTGGTGCACTAAATTGCACAGCGGCTTTGACACGCCCACGAGCCGTGCAGTGATGGCACAGTGGCGCATGTCAATTGTGCCACTCGCAGGGTCATGGTTCAGGAGCAGGACACTCCTGCAGTCTGAGAGTTTCACCTGGTTGAGGGGAGGGTGGAGGGGAGAGGGGTTGAGAAAGGAGTGGCTTTAACACTCCCACAGGGCGGGCAGAGATGGCATAATGGCGCATGTCAATAGTACCACTGGCAGGGTGGTGATTCAGGAGCAGGACACTCCTGCAGTCTGAGAGTTTCACCTGGTGGCGGAGAGGGAGGAAGAGGAAGGGCGAAAGGGACGGTCAACTGGGCAGTGTGTGGTAGCACAGATTGCGCAGCGGCTTCGACACAACCACGGGATTGGAGGACACTTGTATGGTTGCACTAGAAGACCGACTACCAAGTAGTAGGTGCACTCACAGTGGAGACGTTGATGGGCGGAAACATGAACTGAAACATGATGGTCATGAGAGCTTCAGATGCTGTGACGAGAGTTGATTCAGAAAGGCATTTCATGGAAGGGTGCAACAACAGAGGTGCACTCACAGTGGACACGTTGATTGGTGGGAACATGTTCTGAAACATGATGGTCATCAGCTTCAGATGCTCCTGTGAATTGGTTTCCAAAAACAGAGGCACTGCATGTGTGCAGGGCGTCAGAGATACATGTACCATCTACAGAAGCACTCACAGTGGAGACGTTGATGGGTGGAAACATGTTTTGGAACATGATGGTCATCAGCTTCAGATGCTCCGTGCCTTTGCCACTTGCCCCCATGCCGTTCATCACCACCTGGTTGCATGTGGGGAAGGGGGGAAGAAAGGGCGGGAGGGGAGGGGGAGGTGGGGACGCATGAACAGAAACACCTCCATATCGAAGGTTCATACAAGCGAATATGGACGGGTGGGAACATGATGGTCATGAGCTTCAGACGCTTGTGCCCTTGCCACTTGCTCCCATGCCGTTCATCACCACCTGGTTGTGATAAGTGTGGATAGGGCAGCAGGGACGGAGGAGGTGGGAGCGCATGCACACATACCACACATATTAGAGCTCATAAAAGCTCATGTTGATGGGTGGGAACATGATGGTCATGAGGTTTGGATGCTCCGTGCGTGTGGCGAGGGGGAGGGAGGGGTTGGGGGGACATGATGGTCAGGAGGTTTAGATGCTCCGTGCTCTTGCCACTCGCACCCATGCCGTTCATCACCACCTGGTCGCGGGGGGGTTATTGAAAGGGGGGCCGCATGCACACATGCATTTTTTAGGCTTTTTGTAAATTGGAGACGCTCCGTGCCCTTGCCTCTCGCTCCCATGCCGTTCATCACCACCTGGTTGTGACGGGTGGGGATAGGGAGGGAACGGAAGAAAGGGGGGGACGTGCACACATGCATTTCTTAGGCTCCTCAAAGCTTCAGAGGCTCCGTTCCCTTGCCGATTGCTCCCATGTCGTTCATCACCACCTGGTTGTGATGGGTGGGTGAGGGGGAGAGGAAACAGGGGGCACATGCGCACACAAGCATTCTTTAGGCTCCTCAGAAGCTTCAGATGCGCCCTGCCCTTGCCGCTTGCTCCCAAGCCATTCATCACAACCCGTTTGCATTGCACGCATGCCCAGAACGCGCAGACGTATGCATCCACACACACGCGCACACGCGCACGCACACACGCACACACGCACACACATGCGCACGCATGCATGCATGTACATGCACATACACACACATGCACAATCATACACACAAACATGCACACACGTGCGCACACACCTCCCATCCCTTCCTCCCCACAAACACACACAGCAAAGCTACTACGCCAACCACATCGGAGCCTACTACCAACTTCTCAAGCAAGCCAAACCAATCGACTACCATTCTTTCCCACCAAAAAACACACTCCAAACACACCAGCTAGATTAATCTGTCTCCCCGCCTTCAGCAAACCCCAAACCCTGAACCCAACTGTAAACACCTTCCCTTTCCCATCCCCCACTCTCACTAACAGACGAGCCCCAAACAAGCCAGCTGGCACGTTTGGGGGCACCTTTGATAATCCCCAAACAACCTCAAAGACGCTAGCTAGACTAATCCGTCTCCTCGCCCTCATCAAACCTCAAATCCTGAACCCCAAACATCAAGGCATCTCTCTCTCTTCCCATCCCCCCCACTCCCTCTCATCTCACCAGTGGCGGCGCCTCGAACACGCCAGCTGGCACGTACGGGCGCCTCTGGGATTTCGCCACGTCAGCAGCGAGGGAGTAGTCGAGGACGCGGAAGGTGAGGGTGGGACCACGTGGCGTGCGTGCGACGCGCAGGTAAGGAGACACGTCAGACTTGGAGAGCATCAGGAAGTGCGTCACACCCAGAGGGCCTGCCACGTGGAGGAAGTCCTTGAGGTTGTTTTTCCTGGATTCCTGGAGGTTTAAGGTACATGGGTTTGGGGTTTAAGGTAAAACACTTGGAGTTTGGGGTTCCTGTTCAGGGTTTAGATTAAGGTAGACTGAGGAGGTGATTGACGCCCAGCGGGCCTGCCACGTGGAGGGATTTCTTGAGGGTGATGCGCCTGTATTCCTGGAGAGGGGTTTTTGGGGGTTCGGGTTCAAATTTCAGGACCTTGTTTAGGGGTTTTGGTTAAAAGGGGTTGGTTTGAAGAGCATGAGCCACGTGGAGAAGATGCTTTAGATTGTTGTGATGAGATTCCTGAAGGGGTTTGGGGTTTAAGGTCCTGGTTCAGGACTCTGGATTAAGGTAGACCCAGCGAGCATGGGGAAGTGCGTTGCAATTACCCAGTCCACCGCGCGGGCCTAACTTTGCGAGAAAGAAAGTGTGGGTTTCAACACGCGGGTTTTGGTCGATATAAGAAAAAGGATGAAAGGTTTTGGAATGAGGTGGAGTTGGAAAACATCTGGAAATGCATGGCGGCAAGGGAACCTGGGGCAATTCCTTACTTTTGAGAACCAGATATGTTCGCGCCTAGATTCCTGAGTGGGGTTCAGTGGTTCGCGATTATTAGCACAATGCGACGAGGGCACTGGAGGGGGGGAAGGGGGAAGGGCTTTGAGGCGTCTTATAGCCGGCGCAGCACGATTTCTTTCAGCGAAAGCGTGCCTTGATTTCTGCGAGGGGTTCAGGGTTTGGGTGTAGTGCGACCAGCAGAGGTGAGGAGACGGGACGGGAGGGGCGGGAAGGGCTTTGAGACGCCTTACAAGCAGCGCACACAACGTCTGGAAGAAGAATGCGCCGTGATTCTTCAGGGGTTCAGGGTTTCAGGCTTTCAGGCGCCTCAATATAAAAGGAACGGGAAGGGCTTTGAGACGCCTTACAAGCAGCGCACACAACGTCTGGACTGGAAGGAGACTGCGCCGTGATTCTTGAGGGTTTCAAGTTTGAGGTGCCTCAAAAAAAGGTTTTGAGGCGCCTCAAGAAACAATGGGAAGCGCTTTGAGACGCCTTAGGAACAGCGCGCAAAACGTCTGGAAGGAGAATGCGCCGTGATTCGTCAGGGTTTCAGGTTTCCGCGGAAGGAAATGGGAAGTCGAGACAGTAAGGGCGCGAGGGAACGGGGAGGAAACGGCCCGAAACATTGGGCGCTGTTGGTTGACGAGGAAGAGAGGTGCGGAGATGGTCGCGCCGGGGGATTGGGGGGGAAGGAGAGGGGGGAGACGGGGGAGAGGGGGAGCGGGGGAGAAGCGGGAAGAGCGCGCGTTCCCGCGAGAGCGGACCTTGAGCTTGAGCGCGGTGAAAGGCAGCAGCATTTTGCGCATGTCCTGCACGAGGCGCTTGAGGAGAATGTTGACCTTCCCGCGCGCGAACATCATGGTCCGCGGAACCTTCTCGTCCGGGGCCATCTGCGCCGCCGCCTCCTCCTCCTTCCCCGCCTGCGCCGCCCTGCGCTTGCTCTCCTTCGTCTTGCGCCGCGCCATCGCGGATCTACACACTAACAGCGAAGAAGGAAGATCGCGCCGCACACGCTACGCCAGAGAGGCAATGCGGGAGGGGGGTGCTAGCGGAACGAGGTTTGAGTCGACTCAAAACGCGGATCTACACACCCTACGCCAGAGAGGCAGTGCAGGGGGGATGTGCTAGCAGGAAAAACTTCACTCGGCTTGAAGAGGCTAAGTGCTAATGGTAGAAAAGAGGTGGTGAAGAAAACACAATCGTTGTGCGTCACGCCTGGCACGGCGAATACTATCGACAGAAATGGGCGATGCGGAATAGGTAGCGGTGAGGAGAGTGGGGGCATGGAGAGAATTGTAAGGGCGTGTTCTATTCTTTCGCAGGACGCGAGCAGTCGAGGGTGGCCCCAACCACATGGCGGAGACTCGGCTCGGAAGTTTGGCAGGTGGAGATCACGCTCTAGGTATTTTCCCTGATTCCTTTTTAGTGAGGCACTCTATACGCGTACAACCCCAACTTTCGGGATTCCAGACTCGGTCCGACGACCTCACCCTTCGAAGCACCCTCTCGTCGCCTTAGGGTTTCCCAACCCCGAGCCTGCACCCAACCATGCGCGGTCCCGCGACCTCGACCTAGCTAGCCTTCGCTATATCAATGCTAGGCATCACTATCTGCTGATTGTTGTATTCACTTTCGCTTCATTGAATATTGCGCACTCTTCTCATTACAACTCATAACACTTGGTATTAGAGCTACTTTCCTAGGTTGCCCTCTCGTTTTCGGGGTAGTTTAGTGACGGGGTGCGATAGACTTGATAGGGCTACGAAGCGGTCGGCTGTGAAATAGCTACGATTATTCCACTCCGACTACGTTAGCGTTCACGACTTCATCAAAGTCGTAAAAATCGTCGTTAACCCCCTGCCCGTTAGGCGAAGCCTGGGAATTATGGATCAGCCCGAGTTTAACAAGTTTCTACAACAGTTCTGGGCGATGCAGGCCATCATGCAAACGATGTTCACAGAGGTTGAACGCTTAAGGGAGGAAAACGCCAAACTACGCCAGGCGCAAAGTGAAGCGCGCCAGGAGTCGCCCGTCGTGGACGAAGAGAGTAGTAGCTCCACGCCGAACGAGGCCGTCTTCAATCAGCTGGAAGGCTTCTTGGACGCTGCAGAGAAATGGCAGGCACGACGGCAACAGTCGCAAATAGCGCCGAGACAGGAACCAGCGATAACGCCATCGATGGCTTCAACAGCGGCAACAGTACCAGCGGCAGCAGCAGTTTCTACAACTGCCAAGAATACACCAACGAACCCGCCCCTGTTCAACCCCAGCGACAAGAACACCACTTTTTCCGCGTGGTTGTTTGAAGTGGAGGTTTTCTTAAATGCTGCACAAATTGCTGATGATGCGACCCGCATTATGGAGTAGAAGTTTTCTTAAATGCTGCACAAATTGTAGATGATGCCACTTGCATTACTTTTGCAGTATCAATGTTACGGGGACTGCGTTGGAGTGGTGACGACGCATGCTGCAGTCAGAGGGGACTTCGCCAGGGATGTCACGTGTGAACGACAGGACCTCGACACCTGTCATGCAACAAGCAACATCAATCTTTGGAGTGGCTACGTCACGCACATGGAAGGAGTGGGGCGCCGCCTTGCGGACAAGATTCAAGCACGTATCCGCCTCGGATTCTGCTCGCATGAAGCTGCGTGCCTGGAAGCAGTTGACATCGGTCCAAGACTACACAGCGACAATTTGCGCTTTGGCCGACCAAATGGACGACATGGGCGACGTGGAGCGACTCAATAAATACGCCGCGGGCCTCAAATATGAATTACAGTTGGAGGTGTGACGTACGAGGCCGCGCGACTTCAACGATGTTGTCCAGCTAGCTGAATCAACGGATGCGTTGATGCAGTGGGCGAGAACGAGTTCCTGGGAGGGCAATCTTTTTCGTGGGTCGCCTCAACCGCCCACAATCAACGGTGTAGATGTGTCGAGACGTGCCTCAGGGCCGTCAGAAATGTGTAACTGTTCCGTATTAAAAACAATATATACGCATATTTTTTTTCTACACAAAAGTGACACCAGATTCAATCTCTTATCCAACAGTCCTTGCAACCTTCACGAGGCGATATTTAATAATCATTTTTTTTCGTCTAACATCAGTTAGGAGAAAGGTTTATAACGATCGGCACCGATCTAGTACAGAGCCTGTTACCGTCATGCAACGGCAGGCAACGCAAGCTTGCTCGCCCTAGCGGACCTTTTAGTATTCGCCTTATGTAAGTGTCAAACATATATGCTGCTTATTGTGTAGGCTGTAGTGGGGTAGCCCATATGGGGTACAACCCAAATTAGGGTTTCCTACTTGTACCCATCCTGCTGCTAGTTCATCCATTCCTGTTCGTTATTCTGACATGGTTTCAGAGCAGGTCCTAGCCTAGGACCAATTTCTTAGGGCCCACCGAGTAGCGCTACCCCACCCGTCGCGCCAATGTGATCGCGTCGCCCTGCCCTGCCCTGCCCTGCGCCGCCCGCTGCAGCGCACACTGCGTTGCCTGCGCGCCGCCTGCTGCAGCGCGCCCTGCCCTGCCCGCGCGTCGCGTCGCCGCGTCGCCCTGCCCGCGCGTCGCGTCGCCGCGTCGCCCTGCCCGCGCGTCGCGCCGCGTGTCAGATTTATATGACATAGCTACTGTAGGCTATAGTGGGGTAGCACATATGGGGTACAGTTGTCTAGGGTTAACTTTTGTACCCAACTTTCCCTTAGTCAATTCATTCCTCATTTCTTCACATGGTATAGAGCAGGTTCCCTAGTGGGAACGCTTCCTTGGGCCCACTACTGAAACCTTTTTTTTTTCTGACCGGAGCGACAGTCGCTCCTGCCCGAGGCGCGCCTTGTGGGCCGCCCTTCTGTCGAGCTCTCTTAGAGGCCCCTCTCACGGCCCCTCGCGCCACCCTTAGCGGCCCCGTCGCCGCCCCTAGCGGCCCCGTCGCCGCCCCTAGCGGCCCCGTTGCCGCCCTTCCAGGCCCCTTGCGGCCCCTAGCGGCCCCATTGCCGCCCCTACGCGGCCCCGTAGCCGCCCCTAGCGGCCCTGGCCCTTAGCGGCCCCGTTGCCGCCTCCCTCCCTACGCGGCCCCGTTGCCGCCCCTACGCGGCCCCGTCGCCGCCCCTAGCGGCCCCGTCGCCGCCCCTACGCGGCCCCGTCGCCGCCCCTAGCGGCCCCGTAGCCGCTCCCCTCCCTACGCGGCCCCGTCGCCGCCCCTACGCGGCCCCGTTGCCGCCCCTAGCGGCCCCGTCGCCGCCCCTAGCGGCCCCGTCGCCGCTCCCCTCCCTACGTGGCTCCGTAGCCGCCCCTACGCGGCCCCGTCGCCGCCCTTACGTGGCCCCGTCGCCGCCCCTAGCGGCCCCGTCGCCGCTCCCCTCCCTACGCGGCCCCGTCGCCGCCCCTACGCGGCCCCGTCGCCGCCCCTAGCGGCCCCGTCGCCGCCCCTACGCGGCCCCGTCGCCGCCCCTAACGGCCCCGTCGCCTCCTCCCTCCCTACGCGGCCCCGTCGCCGCCCCTACGCGGCCCCGTCGCCGCCCCTAACGGCCCCGTCGCCGCCTCCCTCCCTACGCGGCCCCGTCGCCGCCCCTACGCGGCCTCGTAGCCGCCCCTACGCGGCCCCGTCGCCGCCCCTAGCGGCCCCGTCGCCGCTCCCCGCCCCTAGCGGCCCCGTCGCTGCCCCTACCCGGCCCCGTCGCCGCCCCTAGCGAGCAGCCGAGCCGCCCAGCAGCTGAGCCGCCGAGTCGCCCAGCAGCCGAGCCGCCCCTGGAGCAGCCGCCACTGCAGCAGCCGCCCCTGGAGCAGCCGCCACTGCAGCAGCCGCCCCTGGAGCAGCCGCCACTGCAGCAGCCGCCCCTGGAGCAGCCGCCACTGCAGCAGCCGCCCCCGGAGCAGCCGCCACTGCAGCAGCCGCCCCTGGAGCAGCCGCCTCTGGAGCAGTCGCCCCTACAACTGCCGCCCCTGGAGCAGCCACCCCTGCAGCTGCCGCGGAGCTCTCGCTCTACAGTGGTAGCGGCCTCGCCGTTGCCGCCGTCGTACGCCTGCCCTTCTCGCCACTGGTGAGCACTGCCCTGCCCGTACTGCTGTTACTGCTGCTCTTACTGCTGCTGCTCTTTCTACTGCTACTGCTGCTCCTGGCGTGGCCAGATGCAGCTCCAGCGTCGCCCGCGTGAGTCCCTCACCCCCCAACAGCTTCGTGCGTGGTACGCTAGTTGGGGTTGTCGGGGTGGCCGTAGTGGGAGTCGTCCTGGAGTGAGTAGTTCCACAGCTGCTTGTAGTGGCCAGGTGCAGCTGCAGCGTCGCCCGCGTGAGTCCCTCACCCCCCAACAGCTTCGTGAGTGGTACGCTAGTTGGGGTTGTCGGGGTGGCCGTAGTGGGAGTCGTCCTGGAGTGAGTAGTTCGGCAGCTGCTTGTAGTGGCCAGGTGCAGCTTCAGCGTCGTCCGCGAGCAGTCCTTTCGCCCCAGCAGCTTCGTGAGTGGTACGCTCAGCGTGACGGGTCACGGGGTACTGCTCGCTGTCCGTACGTCATTCGCACTGGTGCTCGGACTGGTCAGCCTTGCGGGACGTTGGGTCACGCAGAGTCCCGCTGCTTCGCCCGTCTGAGCGACGCCTGGCGTACGGAGTTTGGCGACGCGGCTGAGCTCCCCGACTGGGTGGAGCTGCTTCGGCTGCGGGTAGATATCTATACTCTTGACTATGATGCTATCCTCACTGCCATGTATGCATTGCCTACTAGTGATAAGGGTGACTGTTACCTGTGTGTTCCGCCTGACCCGGGCATTGAGGCTGCTGCTCTAGGTGCTGGTGAGGCTGCTGCTCTAGGTGCTAGTGCGTCTGCTGCCCCAGGTGCTGGTGAGTCTGCTCTCTCAGGTACCACGTCGTCTCAGGCCTTACACACCTTCACTCTTGACTCGGGTGCTTCCCGCTCCTTCTTTCGAGACCGCACCACGCTTACGCCGCTCAGTCGGCCGGTTGC